AGCAGGTGAGAAAACTAAGGCCCTAAGGATGAAGTCACGTAGCCTAAGATCACACAGATAGTAAATAGCAAAGTAGAGATTTAAACCCAGGCAGACTGACTCCCTAAACTGTACAGTAGATATAACAAGAAGTCACCAGTGGGAAGACAGCCTAAATGCTTTCTTACCCTCCCAGGCAGCGAAGTGCAGGGGTGAGAGTAAGGATTTTGCAGTCAGCTTGACCTGGATTCAAATACCCGCCTCCTGGCTGTGTGAACTTGGGCAAATCTCTGGGACTCCATTTCAAAACCCTGCCTCACAGGTGGGAATTAAATGAGATAATGGATGGGAACATGCCAGGCCCAGTGCTGGTGTACAGAAGGTTCTTGCCAGGTGACCATCCCATCCTCTACTTGCTACTCGAGCTGGAAGTCTAGTTGCCAAGTTGGAGAGAAGAGTTCAGCGGAGAGTTCTGAGCTGAGCTGGAGCCCACTGGGAAGTCGGAGATCGGGCTTTATTTGCAGAGAAATGCAAATGTCTCCTTTGCTCTCTCCCTGCCTGGGCAACTAACCTCCTCTCCCATCTGCACCCCCGCGCCCCCCCCCCAGAAGAAAGGGTTGGTTTTTGCGCTCCAGAGCTGAGCGCTTGAAGCCCCTCTTTCCTGCTCTCTGGGAGGTGGACAGTAGAGATAAAGGAAGTCACCAGTGGGAAGAACCTTTCTGGCATGTGGGCATAGAAATGGGGCGGAGGGCACTCTTTTTTCTGCCCTTCAATGGTCCGGATGGGGGAGGGGATGGCTGTTGAGCAACTGCTCGGGAGACACTCTAGAAGCAGAGACTAACATTTGCCTCTTTCTAACAATTGGACTGGGAGCCATCTAATATATGGAAGATGGATTTACCACCTCACGGATCCGGAGCCTGCGACAAAGCCGCTGCTGTGGTTTCTAGATCTGCTCCCCCGCTGGGGCTGAGGGGGAAGATAGGTCAGAGGTCCAAATTAGCCAAGCACAATTTGAAAACCTAGGGTCTCTCGCCTCAGGCAAACCCAGAGATGGCTTGAGGGTGTATTTTACAGTCAAAACTCTGTAGGGTTTTATGGTCTCGACAGATACCACCTTTTATCAGAGGGAAACTGGATACAATTCAGGATCTTTGGGTAAAGTGAGAAACTGCAGCAATGGTGTGGTTGTTACTGAGATTTGTGTTGGGACTGGGTGAGGCTAAGGAAAGGAGACACGCAAAGCAGCTTTGGGGGCTGGGAAATGGGTTTGCCTGGTGCCCAGAGAATTCGCCCCACCTTCCTCCAGGTATCAAGAAAGGGCCTTGACCTGTCCCTCTATTTTGCTGCCCATTTTTGTGTCAGTAAGCCAGTCAGTCCGTCAGCAAACAGAACTTTGTTCCAAGAGCAAATGCAAGGCACTTGGGGATGAAAGAAGGAAAAGAAAGTGTGTGTGGGGGGGGGGGGGGGGGCGCGGAGAAAAAGACCTTTAGATCTTCAAATCCAATTAAGAAGATAGAACACATACATAGTGAATGTGCCATGGTGACATTCCCCCCTCCCCCCACTTTTGTTAACATTTGGGACTTTTAAAAAGAGGATATTTTATAAACAGTGTAAACTGAGTAGTTGTTGCTGAAAGAGGTTTTAAAAAAGGAGTGTAGTAGAGGGGTAATCCTGGCGGCCTTCTTGTAAAATGTGAGGAGCTTCTTGGCTACAAGGAACACGAACTGAGATGAAGGAGAAGGCTGGACCTCTTTCCAATAGATTTTTAAAATAACATCCCAACCTGAGAAACATGTGCTCCGAATGCAAAGTATTATTCTTGCTAGATGGGAATGATTGTATAATCATAATAAAATAACCTGGCATCATGGGAAGGCACGAGGAATCCCCCAAGCTCTTCATTCCCTGCTTCCCGTTCCTGGCCTTTGGCATGCCTCTTGAGCTGCACCTCATCCAGGAAGGCAGTATATTTCTGCGTAGCATCCCACCAGCCTCCGTCCCCTCTGGATAACCACAAAAGAGAATACTTGGCTCAGGCCTGTGAGGGAAGCCACTGCTGCCTGCAGATAGGCCCTCAATGAGGCTCTGCCTGGATCTGGCGACTTTAAGGGGGAAAAGGACCCCAGCTTTGTCCCTTCAACAAGGGAAATGGTTCAGCCCAAAGGGACAGACAAGCTCCGAGAAAGCCTGCAGAGAACCCAAATCATGCCTCCCGCTCCCCAGGACCGTCCCTTGTGCGCCCCCTACTCAGGGTCACTGCCTGAGTCCATAGCTCTCCTCCTGAAGCCCTCTCAGCCCACCCGCTAGATTTAGGTCAGAAAACAGACACTAACAGCTCTCCTTTGCCTTAGCAAAATTAAGTGGAATTTATTGGGCAAGTCCATGCAGGGCGGTGGGGAGAGACGATGTCCCGGGCCCGGGCCCCCGCCAGCTTCAGACTCCGTTCCCCAGCCGGCCCTTCGCTTTCACAAGATCCTCGGTGACTGCACCAGCTCGAGTGCCTTTAAAGGGCCACACACGCTAGCCGCCGCTATAAAATGTTACCAGCGGCACAGCTGCAGAAGGGAAACGGCTGAGCCGCCCCAGACGCTGCTCACTCCACCGGGCAGGCTGCTCACTGCGCCCGGCAGCCCGCCCGCAGCCCACAGGCTAAGGAGTCGTCCCTGGAGAGGAGGAAGAGGCTTAAGGAAGGCACAGTACCAGCTCTGGCCCTGAGTGAGTATCCAGTTCAGATTTTGCCACCAACTGGCCCACGAGCCAGTACATGTGCTAATAATGCCCTAAGCCGGTTATAAAGACGTGGAAATTGAGGGGGAGGGATAAAAAGGGGGGAAAGGGTCTGTCTTTCCTGGGATTTCTAGCCCAGGCCAACCTTCTGCCCTGTGCGTGTGCGTCAGGGCTCTCGGGGCGGCAATGGGGGCTTGAGAGCCGGTCCCCGGCGC